GGGGGGGGGGGGGGGTTTTGTGTGTAAGATTTTGTGACTATTTTCTGTTTTAGGATAAAAGAGCTTGAGGACAAGCTGAAATGGATGGAGACTAAATTGAAGAAAGAGGAAGAAGACCACATCAAGAAGTGAGTCACTGATAACAGTTAATAAACTCCAGCTGCTAGCCAGATATTGTACTGAGAGAAAGAGAGAGAGATAGAGATTTAAATATCAAAAGAATGGAAACACGAGAGACCTGTGTCTGGTTCTTATCAGTAGTGTCATCTACACTTGTGTGTAGAATGTGTAAAGTTCTTTTCCAGTGAAATACCTGGAGCTATAGGCAGCAGATGCCTCGGCTGTGTCCAGACCCCAGCGTGTTGTGTGCTGATCGGACGTGGCTAACAGAGATCCTGTGAGATGGTCACTGTGGCAACAACAACAATAGGAGGGAGCACAGCAAAGGCAAAACTAAAACATCGGGGAGGACGAGCTGGTGTTTGGAACAGGCTGGGAACCCAAGTCCTCCTTCTACCCCAGACCAGGATCCAACCTGCAGCTGTACAGTCCTTGTAAGGATGATCTCAGGGCAAGGATCAGATCCGAACAGGACCTGGGAGACTGTGGCATCCTCTGTGTCACTGGGACTTGGCTCAGCCACCAGGTGTCGGATCAGGCTGTCCGACCATCAGAGTGCTTCTCTAATTTCTGTGTGGACGGAGCAGAGGAGTTCGGCAGGTCAGAGGCTGGTGGAGTCCGTCTGGTGATGAACAACAATTGGTGTAATCCCAGAGAGACTAAAACCTACTCCTGCTCATCTGAACCTTAAAAAAGTTCCACCTAATGTCTAAAAACACATGAGCTTTTCCATCAGAGGGTGGGGTCCCAACAAGACAGATTATTTGCCATCTTCTTCATTCCGGAATGTAAACAAAGGGAGAGAGGTCATGTGACTGCCCTATCAGCGGCTACGCTACTGGATGATCTAGACATGTGGCTCGTCGACCCGGATATGTTCAACTAATAAAAAAACACATAGTCAACAGAAGTTTAGTATGATATTCCAAATATGAATGAACTGCTAATTTATAATATACATAGAGTATATAACAGTTCTTTCTAGAATGCTGGCTCATTAAACTGTCACACAGTTAGACAGCAGGTGATTGGTTGCCTGAGTAAATGCTGTGTCAGCCTACATACAAGGAACACTTTCTTTCCTTACCCTGTATGTCCTGTAATAGAAATATAGTAATAGACAAAAAAAATTATATTTCTGTTAGTGTTTTAACCTGTTACCACAATTAACTCCCACATGTCCGCTCTCCTGCTGTCTCACTTCCTGCCAGGCTTTGTGTCCACATCGCCAACTGTGCAGTGCATCATGGCTGGACATTTGTTTCAGTTGATAGGGTTTACATTCACACACAAAGTCAACAAGGTCAGTCTCCACAAAACAAGTTTAGCAGTACTCTGCAGAAGGTCAGTCAGTCATTTACACAGGGTTAAAGCTGAATTCCTGGCCATTTATACTTGTGACTTTTTCATGTGTAAGCATGTGCATAACTGTGCATGGACAGGGAAAATATCGCTGTGACAGTAGCATGGTAGCAAAAATGTCATTTGTTTTGCTTGAGGAAGAGTGAGAGCAGTGGAGAATCCTTTCACTTTTCTCCATTCCATTATCCAAACCGCTTATCCTATTCAGGGTCGCGGGGCGCTGGAGCAGATCACAGCTGACGAAGGCAGGGTACACCTAACCCGGGCCCCTCTTGCTGTGAGGTGACAGTGCTAGCCACTACACCACCGTGCAGCCCCCTTTCACTTTTCTCATCCCATATATTTTATCTTGTTCTTCCCTTTTGATATTTACTGTGGAAAAAAGAAAAGGTGATGTGTGATCATCAGCTGATCAGCTGGTAATTGTTTTTATTATTTAGAATTTGGGGAGGGCCAACAAAAAACTGACGCTCTTAAGCTCCTCAGCCACCTCTAAAAGCTGGCTCCACCTGTTTCTCTCATTCAGCTACAGTGGTAATAACTCTTTATGTTACCTTGTGCATAAAAGACCTTACCGGTACCATCGGCCCTAAATGTCTCCAAGTGTCTAACTGTATGGCTGTTTGTGGACAGATCTGAGGAGGCGGTCCAGGCCCTGAATGAGTGTGGTGCTCAGCTAGAGGCTCAGCGTCAGGCCCACACAGAGCGGCTGCAGAAGGCTGAGGAACACATTGTCAAACTACAGGGTGAAGTAGAAGTTCTGGCTGCACAGCTACGCTGCAGACAGAAGGAGCAACAGGAGGCCATGCAACAGAAAGACGAGACAATCCAGAGGTGAGAAAGAAAAAAAAGAATAAATCATCATATTGGCATTAACAAACCTGGTGCATGTGGCTGCTCATTCAGTGTGTGAGTCTGTGTGTTTTCTAAAGGCTCCGCACAGAGGTGGAAGCAACCCAGACTGGCTGGGACAAGTACATCAGTCAGTTCTCCAGTGAGATGGTTGTCAAGGATACAGAGATCATCACCCTGCACGAGAGAGAAACTAAATTTAATACTGAGCGGGAGAGGAGCAGGGAGGAGCTGGAGAGGTGAGAAGGCAGCAGCAGCATGGAGATATAGTAAGCAAGGAGGAGGAGGAGGCAGGTAGAGACACATTCATTTAGTACCACGAGAACAAAGAGGTTACAGTGAAGGCATTTGGTGAGATCTTTGAAGATATGAATTATGCCAACTAGTCTGAATTGCTGTTATGATTCATAAAATGTGTGTGTGTGTGTGTGTGTGTGTTATCAGGTACAAGCAGCAGCTGAGTGATGGTTTGAAGAGAGAGAGGGCCTTAGAGCAGATGCAAGTCCAGGTTGAGCTGGAGTGGCAGAGACGCTGTGAGGACATGAAGGCCCGACACTACCTCGCCAATGAGCAGCTGATACAAGACCTGACCCAGGCTAGAGACCAGGTCAGAACTGTTTTTTAGGAAACAAGGCAAATAGCACCAATCTGACACATTATATTATATAAGTACACTACCAGGCATACACAGGTCTCCACCTGTGTATGCCTGGTAGTATCGCAGCTTGTGTGTTTGCAAGCTGTGTTTGAGGTGGACGCATGTTAACAGAGGTTATACAGAGGGTCGCTGTCCAAGTGTCCATATGTCAATGTGTCCTTGAGCAAGACACTGAACCCGGACCCTTTACAGCAGCCCACTGCTCCTAATGCTTAGGATGGAAATGTATGTATATCACCATTGAAAGTTATGGTAAATGGTCTTGTTCTTGTACAGCACTTTTCTAGTTTTCCGAGCACTCAAAGCGCTTTCACACTACATGTCATCATTCACCCATTCACATACTGATGACATGTAGTGTGAAAGCGCTTTGAGTGCTCGGACTCTAACTAACATCCACACCGTAGGCACAGCTACGGGAGCAACTTTGGATGAAGTGTCTTGCTCAAGGGCACATCAACATGGACTAGCGGATCGAACCCCCGATCCCCTAATTGAAGGACGACCTGCTCTATCAGTGAGCCACAGCCACCCCAATGTATTATGTGTTCAGCTAGATTTATTGAGGTCATCACAATTTTCAACAGTCAGTATTGCCAGACCTGCTGCTCCATCTTCATCTAAAAAATGTAATATAGTGATTTTATAAGTCATAGTTTTTCTGCGGTGGACTCTGATATTGTGGAATTAATGTCACAGCTCTGCCACCATTATCCTGTTCTGTCTATCTCTCACTCACCTAATCAGTTTATTCAGTGCACCTGCCAGTCACCCACCTCGTCAGCTCACTCTGCTGCATCCACTATTTAAACCCCAGTCACACACGCACTCACTGCCAGATCATTGTCATGTCTACCCGCCCGTTTGGCTCGTCCTGTTCCCGGTTTCCCCGGCTGCCCGCCCTGCCTCATTCTGCTGGATTTTCCCCCTCGTCTCTTGTCTCGTCTGTGGATTCCCTCTTGTTCCTGTTCTGATTTCATTACCCATTAAATACCTGCTTCATTCAACTTCTGGTCTTGTCTGCATTTGAGTCCTCCACCACACCCCGTGACAATTAAGATATCATGACTTCATGGCGATAATAGAAATTCCCCAGGATCAACTTATTTTGATAAAATCTTATATTGATGTAAAGTGAAAGGACCTTGAAAGAATGAGAATTGTTTCTCGTTTTAAAAAGAAACGTTTTTAGTCACGGTGGCAGTAATACACTGCCTTAGTAATACAACTGTCCCATTGCTAGTGGACTGAGTGTTTTTGCAGTTCCAACAAATCCAAAAATGTAATCTGTCCTCTCTCTAATTGATCACGTTTAAATCAGGATGTTCAGTGTGTGGGTCAAGTAGGTCATTAATAATACAGGGTGACAGATTTACTAGGCTTCCAGTGTTATTCCACTGTGTCAGATACATATTCAATCAACATTTAAAGCAATTAGGGGGATCTATTGGCAGATGTTTTCTGTAGTGTATAATCACCTGAAAATAAGAATCGTGTTTTTGTTACCTTAGAATGAGCAGTCACAGTTATCATGTCTCCTCCCGTTGGTTGCACAATCCTCAAATGCATAATGTAAGAAGATGGTCACACCTTACTGCTGACACACAGTGCACATAAGACACTGTGCCTGCTGGCCGGCACACTTGTTTAAATCTCATGTGTGACTCCGGATGCAGACTGTATCACAAACAAGAAGTAAACTCTGTCTGATGGTGAGCAAACAGCAGCCTTGTAGTGTGATTAATTTATAATCTCCAACTCGTTTGGGCAGTCAGCACTAAAAGCTAAACTATTAGTACTAAAGCTTAATGTTGGTCTCTTTCAGGCTAAAGCAGAGCTGAAGGAGAAAGAACAAGACCTGCAGGATTTGACTGTGTTACTACGTTCTGTAAAAACAGAGAGAGACCAGGCAGTACAGGTGAGAGAACATCCACCTCACACTGTGCAGACTGATAGAACCATCAACAAGTACTAACACAGTAACAAAAGCAAATTACTGTTCACCTACAAGGAAAGGGTTCTGTCCTGATGAGTGTGAAATCCGCCTGCTGTTCATTAATCCTCCACGTCTTTACAGAGTTTTTAGATTGTGTGGTGAACTGTTTTTCTTGTTTTCACACGTGCACACAAACACACAGAATCTCTGAGCATGTGTTGCACTGATTCCAGTCACACAGAATGAGCAGCACTAGAGTGGTGTGTGGTCTTCACTGTCCAGTTTCTGGTTGTAGATCCATCATTCCTTTATCTGCATTCTCTCCTGATGTGACACATCTGGTTATAAACGTATCAAAGAAAGAGGTCTGAAGAGTCAGAAGAGGAATGGCCTGTTGGCAAACCAATGCTGTAAAGTGCTCCAGCCAAATCGGCATATATTATGTTACTTCTATATTGCATATGTCACATGTGTTGCAATACACTGTTTCCTTTATGTTAATAAATTGCCGTACATGTCTCATCTCGAATAAGAACAATATCACTTTAGATTACGGCCCACGTGTATGGTGTAATTATTTTCAATTTACAGTCTTATTGTCTGTACTAACAGTGTACCAGTACAGTACGTACCAACACAGTAATGTACTGTGGGAACAAGGTGTAAAGTTAGATACAATCTGGGAACTTCGACAGAATTTATGCTGTAGGTTTTTTTTTATCTATTCTAATATTACAGGAAAGCTAGACATTTTTTGGGGGAAGAGTGAATTGCATTTTATAAATATGCTGTGATTTCTTTCAAAATGACGTTACATACACAGGAGGGGTACAGTTGATAATTCCTAAATGACAGGTTAACCTATAGGGCCCTAGCCCTATTTTTAGGCCGCTGCTCGAAAATTGCATACCCATACTAAAGAGAGTGTAGATCTCTAACTACAAGGTCTATTTTAATAATTCTGATGGTTAAATACAGGAAAAACTTGTGAGACACTTGTTCAGATGTGTAAATATTGTGTATATGTTACTGGTTAATAGTGAATGAAGATGGAACACAGCTCAAATTGAAAAGTTTCAGGTTTGCCTGAAAAAAAAGCACTTGTATTGAAAATATTTATTTGAAATAATGCAGATACAAGCCTACAAATACGCCACAGTCATAGCACATGTTTTACATGTCTCCACAAACAAATTTTACTTCGATTGAGTGAAGCAGGCCAGCATAATAGAGGTTTGAGTACGGACAGTCAAGCCAAATTCTCATTTTTGGAACCAGCTGTTGCGCTGGTTTTTATATATTTATATATATTTTGTATAGTATTTAACTATATATTTCACTTGTTGTATCAGTACTAGTGTTCAATACATCCTAATACAGCAGTTTGGCATCATTTTGAGATCTCATATCTCTCCTCCATGGAATTTTATTATCTCAGTCTGAGTCGATGGAGACCTTTTTAAGGCCTGCGGTTGGCGGATTTCATCATGTGACACCTTGTTCAATGCGGAAGAGACTCAGGCAAGCAGTATGCGGGTTATTTAGTAGATTGACAGTTTTTAGCCACTAAAAATCCTGATCTGTGCAGCCCAACCCCCACGTGTAAAATCATTGGCCCAGCAGGGAAATGCTGACCATTTCGTCATAGTTTCGACCAGGACCTTAATTTTAACACGGCATGCAGTGCAGGAGACGGGACTATACGGCTGAAGCGGATTACAATCAATTTCGAGTGTTTTTCGTCACGAAAATTACCTAAAGGTACGATGCGTTTCAATTTTTTTGCTGGGGAGTGGTTTGTTGTTCGTTGGCTTTATGTATGTAACTTTTGAATGGATTGACAGAGAGGAATGAGGAAGCTGTGATTCGACGCGCGGTCGATTCCTCGTGCTTTTTCATGTATCCATCCGCCATGATAGCTGCCAGCTTTGTGATGAGAGATGCAAACGGAGTGCATAGGTCGCCGATTTGTGGCGAAAAATACGTGATATTGTGGTAAATCTTCTAGAGATATTAGTTTGTATATAATTGTGTTTGCAGTGTGTAAAATGGTTTACATGACTATGTTGCCCAGAATCTCTTTGTTTTTTGGTATATAGCATGTGTGTAGCATTAATTTATATTAGTTTCTGAAAAGTTCATTTAAGACACGCTGTACGCTCAACTTTTCTAAAAAGCCCCCCATCTGGGGCTCCCGGGTCCAGAAGGAGAATATGTGCATGTGATGTTTCTCACATTGTATCAGAAGATAATAATGCTGGGTAGATGTCCCTTTTACTCCTCCTCATAAGGGTTAACTGACCTATTACAGGCTAACCTCCCCTACAACCATATATAACATGGGGGTATCTGCTAGAAGCTGTCCTGTGTTTAGGCCTTGGCCTTTTCTTCGAGTATCCTGAGAGGTATGATGGCCTTTCAGGATACGTTACAGGAGATGTTGGGCTCAGGGCCAACATGCCAGCCTTTGTGCGAGAAAACACGTATCAAGTTCCTGTCTGTGTAAACCTTCTCCAATGACTCCAAAAAACACTTAAGCTAAATACCTGGAATGACGCTCTACATAGCAAGGCATGATATATCTGATGACTTATTATTTAAAGAAATTAGGCTGCATGTTCTAACCTCGTGTGATAATATTAAACCATTTCATCTGCCATGTTCAAACGATACAACACGGATTAAGATGTTTACAGCTAGTCCACCATGTTTCAATGAGAACGAACCAAAGTGACCGTTTTAAAGCTCAAACGTCAGATGGTCTCACAGCTGGTATTTTTGCAGACTGTCGAGATAGCAGGAACGCCAAATAAAAGATTCATCATGGGAACATACTGTACATATGTTGATCAGATGTTCGGTCATTGTGACTGAAGCTGTAGGTTGAAGCAAAACACTCAAGTGAGAGCAGCGTAATCCATCAGGAGACCACAGCTTCCTGAGAAGGTCAACGTCTCCTGTACACTGTTGACAAGAGAAGAGTTTGAGCACAGAGCTCAGATGACTGTTAGTTGGAACACAAATTGTCTTATCGAAAGCTATATTTTTGATAGAAGTGATCACAATATATGTAATTTACATTGTGACATCGATGTGTATTGTGATATATTCATTTCTCACAAATAATGAAGTAGAGTGATTAAACCACCATAATCAGTATACTGAATTTTACCTTGGGGCACCACCCTTCCAAAAGTGAAAATGATGGCGAATAAATTCATTAAGTCTCATTCTGGAGGTTGCTTCTATGTTCTTGACTCGTGAACAGTGACTGTAATATAATGAGGAGGCGCCAGTTCGCCTTGAGCAAGGCCCCAGAACCCTGATACTGTTCCCTGGGCGCTGTATCTGCCCACTGCTGTGTGCTGTGCTGTATACAATGTGTGACAATGGGTGACCGTGGCTAAGTGGAGAGCAGGGCCGTCCTTCAATCAGAGGATCGCTAGTTCCATGTCGATGTGTCCTTGAGCAAGACACTTAATCCCAAAAATTGCTCCCGTAGCTGTGCCTACCACATTACGGTTTATGAATGTGATAGAATCTAAATTGTAAGTCGCTTTGGATAAAAGCTGCTTAATGTAACATACTAAAGAAAATGAATAAATGTGATGATGAATGCAATGAATGAATGCAAAGATGAGCAAATAATGAAATGAAATAATGAAATATGTCCTGGTAAACCTGTGATGTCCCTTGTGTTTGACTGTGTTATCTTCCCACAGGGTCTCACACCAAAGGTAGATTATCTGGCATCAGAGGAGATTTATTGTCTACAGCAGCAGAACAGCGTCCTGCGGGCCGTGGTTACTGAGATGAGGAAGGACACGGAGGCTCTCATCCATCACCTACCCCATCCTCAGGCCCAGCCACAGGCCTCCTCTCCTCAGCCAGTTCAGCATCCAGGAGCCCCTGCCGCCGCCGCCACCTCCATCCCTCCTACAGCTAACACTCAGATGGCACAAGGACCACCGGACCAATCCGCTAACATCTCCTTCAAAGTCAGCCCAGCAGGTGTGGAAAGCACTCTTCTATACTGAATTTGATCATACAGCATCTTTCTGTGAAATAAACCATAATTATTACTGCATGTGCTTTGGCAAGCTGCACTGACCTTTTTATTTTTTAGCTCCGGGGGCCTGTTTCACAAAGATTTACTTTCACTGTGACTTAGATCAAACTAATAGTCTAAACCAGATCAGATAGACTAAATGAATCTGTTGCACAACCGTCTATCTAAAAGGTGACATATTATGCAAAATGCACTTTTTCATGGCTTTTCAACATTGATATGTGTCTACAGACCCCCAAAGTATGAGAAAAGACCATCCTCTCTAATTTTCTCATGCTCCTTTTATCAAAAAACAGTTGAGTTTGCTTTTTTCTCTGGCTTTCTCCGCCAGCAAAAAAAATATAAAATGGACCAACATCACCAACACTTTTGGTGCATCCATCTGTAACCATAACACTGACCATATACGGGGATGCAATTAAGAGACTTGGGATGTACCCTGTGACCTCAGAGCTCCATCACCAGCTGACACAACTTCAGTATACATCAAACCCTTTACTCTAATGGAGGACACGACGAGAACTGTTTACAACAGAGTTAGAGTTTCTACTTTGTGCATTATGTACCCAATTTACATTTACATTTCACTGACTATGAATAATGTGCTTTATTTTCAAAGTGGATTTTGGGGATTTTTGAAGTTAGTACTAAGTGTCCTGTGGTGTTAGAAAAATATAACATGTTCTTTTTCCATAGGTTTTATTTTATTACACTGTTTATATGGGTCTAAATTCAATCTTTAGAACATTAATATAGCAGCAAAAAGCTGTTGTCTATGTAAATATATAGTGAAGTAATGTCTACCTGAGCAGAGAATGAAGTCTCTCTCCCTCAGTGTGTTCTTATCAGAGCCTTTCCGTTCTTTGTTGACATTGCGCTCGCTTTTATTGCACGTGAGCATGAGCGTGCCCCACTGGCTAGCTCCCAGCCTCCGCGCTGCACTGCTCTCAAAAGGCGGTTAAAGCTGATAGAGCTGTTCCGATCAGCCTCGTTGGGGAAGCAGTTCCCCTCAGGTGAACTCTGTTAGCTCTGTCAGCACTATTGCCATTGTGTGCACTGCGCTGTTAGCACTGTTAGCGCTGTTAGAACCTTAAGCTAACATGAGCCACTGGCTCAGCTGTCTCCATGTTATGAGCCGTTGAAAGGCAATAACAATGCTCCGAATCTCATATTTTATTTCATGTATGTAGCAATATCAAAAAACCTGTTTCATTTACATCCTGGCTATGATTTTGTAATACTTTACTACAGGTAGTAAATGTGATGTAAACAACACAACTAAATTCCTATTTCACAGTCAAACTTTATTACAGTGTAAAAGGAGGCCAATATGAATTATGCAATATTCTCTTAAGTATTATGAAAGGGTATCAAAGAGATAAACTGCAGCTTTGACAAACATTTCACAGCTTAAATGCAGTGAAGTGTTTATGCATGTGGGGACAGCTGCTTGGGTCAGTGACTGGATGACTCAGTCAGGACCTCAATCAGCTGCCCAGTGCAGGGCCCTGATTTCATGTCTGGGGGTGTCATCAGGGCCAGCAGCCTTACTATTAATCCTGCTTAGTGCAGCACACACACACACACCGGTGAGGGAGAGTGTGAGGGGCTGGTGGTCTGCTGGGACCACAGCCTTGCTAGCCGCCCCCGGATATCCGGATATGAACTGTTGGCCTGAGCGTCACCTGATCATAAAGCGGTGTTACATGCCTTCAGCAGTATGCAAACCTTTCTGTTCATCTATGGCCTCTGATTTGGGAATGTTGTGCTACCTCTATCAATGGTGACTAGGACTGAGTTTCCTTTAAAAAATGGTGCTACAGATACCAATAGAGTACTTCAGATACTCATCATGGGATTGGAAGCTATGTGTGTCCCACTGGCAAGCTGATCACTGCCGCTCTTCACTCTGCTCATACGGCAGTTACCGCTGATGGCTTGAGGCGACAGTGGCGGGATGACGTTGCTTTGGAAGCGTAACTCCCACCCCCTGGTTCCCCCTCAGAGTAACACTGGTAGCTGTTGGAATGTGAGTTGGTTCTGACACTGTTTGCTCATAGATTGTTTGGACGGCCGAGTATTTTTTTAATCCTCATCATTTGCAGCACCAGATGAGTAATCTGTGATGTCAAATGTACAGACAAGTCACCATAGCAGGCTGTTATCCCATATCTTATAATACTCTCTAAGACTGCATGGTAAAGTAGTAACATGAACTACTGCTCAACTCCAAAAAACCTGACCAATCAGAGCAGACTGGACTTTTTGTGAGTGGGACTTTAGAGAGACGGGGGCTTAAACTGACCGTTTTAGACAGTATGAGAAAAAATAATGTGCTTTCTGAACACTAAAGCATGCAAACATGTTTAAGTAGAAACCCAAAATACAGCAACTTGAAATTGAGCATAATATGTCTCCTTTAAATATTTGCCATACATTTTAGGTAAGCTAAGAAAACATGAAAACAGGGCTCTTCAGAGTTAGCCTGGGGTAGGGTGTTGTTAGGGCTTAACATAAGTCAGGCTTATTTATGTCAAACTTGCATTAGACTCATCTAAAGTGAAAATGAAGACTGGCCTGACACTACAGACTGGTCTACAACACCTTTGTGAAACTGTCCCCAGACTACACTCTGGAGCAGGTGTCCCTACTAAAGGCTCGATGCAGGCATCTCGAGGGGCAGCTAGAAGGCGCTACGAGGATGCCCAGCCTGGCCCTAGCCACAGACAAACCTACGGAACATCTGGCATCCTTACTTCCAGACAACACACATCTGCAGAACCAGGGACCTAAAGAAGGTATCTTCCATCTGTTCTTCCAGTGTTGCAGTTTTGGGGTTCACTAGAAACGCTGTTAAAGCTTTACCACCCTTCTATGAACAAAATTGTCATTCAATAATGAAAAGACATGGATTTTGGAGACTAAATTATAAAGGAAAACTATTACTCAAAACATTCAGTTCAAAAATGTCTATATCGGCTTTGAAAATATATTAATCCATTGTTATTACGCTTGTGCCCCCATGTAAGTTCATGTACAGGTATCATATTTTATATACACACTGTAAATTCTAAAATAGTGACTGGGGCCCTGGTTTACCTCCATCTTTTATTTAAAGGAGGCTTATATTAGAGACAACTGTTTAAGTTTATATAGTTATATTTCAGTAGTGGTTGTTGCAACATTATGCTGTTCTACAAACTTCTTACTTCCTGTATCCGTAAATGTCCTGTAGCATTTCAGTGGACAGAATACCTACATTTCCTAATGAGGCTTTTATTGTGAAACATTTGCACATTTCCAATATGGTACTTAACATGTAGCTATTGTAACCTTGTGGCACTTTAATGTTATTAAAAGGTACACTTTGGCTGGGATATTAACACACTTTAAATAATAGCATGATTCAGCTTTCATTTTTCGTCTATTTATATATATATTTATGTATATATCTTAATTTTAACACACATCAGCATTGTTTGCCATAGAAGATAGCCACAAGGTGGCTGAATGCTTTATAGCAATAAAGAAGTTCGTTAGTAATTTAGTGTTAGCTTTAATTACTTGAACTTTAACAAGTTAGATGTATTTTTATAAAAAGGTATTTTGCAGTAACTTTGCTTTCATTCGTCTATGTCCTCTCGTGTGTGGTATGTTATCCTCAGGCGGTCGGTGCTCGGAGAAAAGTGCCAACACCTCTGCTTTGGCAAAGCAGGAGGTCAGAGTGGAACATACGGAGTCTGCTCTGGCCAACCTCATGGAACAGGTGCTGAAGCAAATCAGTAAACTAGTTGAAGTTGACCTGTCAGTTCTATCCAGGTGGCTGCTTGGACCAATGGTGTGGAGTTAAACCTACTGTCCTCATTAGTGCTGACTGTGCACTGTATAACTTTGTCCCAGCAAAAATGATAGTTCATAAAAGGGTCACTTCACCAGCCAGTTATGTGAGATGATGGGGAGAGGTTGTCTAAACTGCTGCAGCAACCCAGTTCCTTCAAGTTCCATCTCATCTTCCTTCCAGAGTGCATTGCTGCGACCGCTTCAGGAGGAGAACCTGTATTTGCGACGGCAGCAGGCCTCAGATCTGATGTCTGGTGGTTTGTTAGAAAATGTGCAGGGTGCTAGAAGCGACCCTCCTCTCCTGCGTACCAGGCTTAAGCGGGCAGCGTCCTGTATCGCCCGTCTGAGCAGAGAGAAACAGCAGCTGATAGAGATGGGGAACCGCCTCCGAGCCCAGATCACCACTGCTGGACCACAGGGTACAATATCAGACACACACACGACCCATCTCTTGGGTTTGTTTGTTCGGTTTTATTTTTTTGCACAGTACCCAAACTGCCATACACAACTAACAAACGCATTTGAAAGACATTTTTAAATATTGTAAACACATCCTTCCAGCAAGTATCTATTTATATTTATATCCAAAGGCTGATACATTGTATTTGTTGTGTAATAGAGCTCCATTATTAGAATAAATCAAATGGCATTATCCTTCAAATACCAAATTGAAGAAATCACACAGACACCAAATTGAACACTTAATTGAAGTGTAAGAGTGGATTGTAAACATTTTAAATAGGATTTCCTCCATATGCTGTCAGTTGTGCTGATTCAAATCTGTGCTAATTTTAGAGGCTGGACTTTGTGGCGCTTGCTGACTTTTATTGCATTTTATTGAACAGTGTTTTTTTAAATGTTGCCTTCCCCATTTATTATAGCTCTACTCATAAGTCATAAGTATTCTATAATAGGGGGCTTTCCATTCTGCTCTTCCTGCCGCCTCTTCCTGCCGCCTCTTCCTGCCGCCTCTTCCTGACGTCTCTTCCTGACGTCTCTTCCTGACGCCTCTTCCTGACGTCTCTTCCTGCCTTCCTTTCCTGAATGAACCAAGGTGCAAAATCAGAAAAGAATACAAAAAAGCCTTTTGATTTATAAAGACAAAGTTGCAAATAGCTTCTAATTCATTCATGTTTCAAACACGCATCACATTTTTTTGACGAGTTTAATTTAATCTACAGCATTACGATCGTACAGACATAATGATAGTTAATAGTTATTATAATAAATCTCTTTCCACGAGCCGGACACTCCTTTTACTGCCCCATCAGGTCACCTGACCAATTACCACAATAGTTTCCGATCGAAGCGGTGTTTCCACCCGATAAAAAATGTTCCTATTGGATACCTCCTCTCTCCTTGCCACCTATGGGATCGGAACATCCTCGATGATGTCAGACCAGTGGCGGCTGGCCAATAGAGGGCCATGGGGCCTGGCCCCACCTTGAGCCACAAAAAAAATAAAAAATAAATTATAATAATCATAAATGATACAAATTGTCAATATTTGTGTTTTTGAACTATGGAATGTACCCAGTAATATGTGTAAAATATGATATCTGCGCAAAATATATGCTTTTCCTGCTCGTGCTCTCCGCCTGTGTGCACAACACATCTTAGAACTCGCAGCTAGGGGGGCAAAATCGTTTTGGCCCAAAAGAGGCGGGTCTATTAGCCAATTGCTGATTAAAGATATAAATGAGTGACATACAAGTTAGCCAATCAGCGTCCTCAAATAGATTCAGCGTGGGGCCAAAACGATTTGGCCCCCCTAGCTGCGCGTTCTCGTCAGGAGAAGTCTCTACAGGCGAGCGCCAGCGCCAGCGCGAGCACTACTCCTCCAAGACCCGTTTGAGAGGAGAACTTTGGCGGAGATTCTGCAGGCCAAAGAGCTGATCCCAGATCAGCCTGACCTCACAATCAGACAGCAGACTAGGAAAGGGAAGCAGTACATGCGAAGCTTCTGTACTAGCTGTACACCAGACAGGTTTGGCTAGCTGCATGACGTCATGCTAATAATTTATTTAGCTTTTTAAAACAACGGGGACAGATCCAGCACGGACAGTTAGGGAGTGAGGGATGAGGAAGTAAGGAAACATGAGAACACCAGGGTAGGGAGTGAGGGATGAGGAGGTAAGGAAACATGAGAACACCAGGACACACATGGAGAACTCTGTCAAGCTACATATTAGGCAAAGTGAACATCTTTTCTTCTACATAGTTGTCCTCAGTCTCATCTGCTTAACTTGGTCATGGAGGCATCAACATGTAATTGAGATGGTAAATTAACAGTGAAAACTCATCATAGAAGTAAACATCAGTATTTATAATTACACTTCATGTTTACTTCTCCTGATCTTTACCTCCTATAACAAGGTCCATAGGGGCATCTCAATAAATTAACATGTTATATTACATTATATAAGTGTTATTTACTGCTTTTTTTCGTGTTGGAATAAATGTTAAATATTTAACTGCAAAGTAGTAATGCGTGTTTGATACTTTAATTTTTTTGCATTAAATCATACTGGCATGTTTGCTGAAATTGATAGGATGGCCCTACCTAGAACATTTTCCACCAGCTGCCACTGTGTCAGACCTAAGATCGATTTCTGTGTTTGGTTGGAGGATGGAGGAGCTAGGGGTGTAGGAAGCATAATAAGCAGAATGGAAAATAACTCTGTGTGTCTAACAGAACCTGTGGAGCCAGAGAGGCACTCCTCCACAGAGAAACAAGGAGAGCAGCATGACCGGCTGTTTGCTTTGGAACAGCTCCAGTACAAGCTCACCACACAGGTATCTGCTCCAACTCAGTTTTCCATCAATAAACTGCTCTTTCTCCCTGTGGTGGCCCGTTCTTTGTTCTTCTTCCTATATACTGGGCTACGTTACGGGGCTCAGTTTCTGACTCACACATTAAACAGTCCAAATAATAACTCTTGCAGACGCTGATTCCTTTGCCGTCACTTGATTGATTTATTTTCTCTTTCGACAAATTTAACAGCAAAATATAATCAGTTTAACGGTCAAAGACTGTCCCGATGCCCCGTTCTACCCGAAGGAAAAACCAACTCGAGACTCAGTCCCACCCCTTCCTCTTATACCAGCTGATCCTCATCTGATTAACAACAAAAGTTCCTAAAGAAAAATAATTATACAGAATGCAAATTTAACCTTCATTCATAAATTAAAGGAATGTCTTTAGGTCATACAAATATATTAGCAAAATTAGAAATTATGATTTGTAATCAAAACTAAAAAAATATGGCTCTAACACTCCCACTTCCTTGAGAGGCTCTTCTACATCACACAGTCGTTTCTCCCTCATATACCTCCTTAGATTCACTAGGAAAGGTTTCATTTTAGTACCCGAGTGGTAATAGCAAGCTAGACATGAGTCTTCTTTGCCTGTGTTGTCTCCCATGTGGTGCCATAATGTGTGTGAGCTCAGGATATATACTGTATACTGCAGCACCTCTTCTGTTGGAGTGGGGTTTTTCTCAGTCCATTCCAAATCTGGGGGGGGGGGTACAGATGTACCCATTCAAAAAACCTCAACGGTCTCACAAAAGTAACAAAATCCAAACAGCTACAGGCCAAATGTGGGCGACTGTGGCTAAGTGGAGAGCAGAGGATTGGCAGTTTGATCCCCGGCTCTGCTAGCCCATGTTGATGTGTCCTTGAGCAAGACACTTAACCCCAAAATTGCTCCCGTAGCTATGCCTACGGTGTATGAATGTGATAGAATGTGATAGGCAGGTGTCACTTAGCTCCTGCCATCAGTGTGTGAATGGGGGAATGATGACATGTAGCGTTAAAGCGCTTTGAGTGGTCAGAAGACTATAAAAGCGCTATACAAGTACAGTCCATTTACCATGTACTGACTTGACAGGATTCCATGCGATCTCCACCTTCTAAATGAACAAACATCTTAAAGACACACTAGTCTATACAACATTCAGAAAACGTGTCAAAGACATACATCACTTCAAATCAGACTTTGCAGGCCAAGTCCACTAAGTGATAAGCTGCATCCACTCTGGCAAACTCTGTGTAGGAGGAACAGGAAATGCACCTAGAACCAGAATCACACAACACCAGAATATGATGGGAACAGGTCAGGGTTCCATGGTGCTCTACACACATGTCCAAAACCACAGACAGCCACTAAGAACACAGTCTGAAAGACCAGAGGGACAGGGCTCCTTGTGGTGTGGGGTTCTCTGTGCTACCTCCAGAGAGCGCTGTGGGTCCACTAATGTATTTGTGCCTGTCAGGAGCTGCAGTACGCACTGAGGCAGAGAGCTGGCACTTTGGCTGAACGACTACCTGGAACCAACAACACAGGTCCTCCCACAGGAGGGGCTGCCAACCCTTGGTCCCAGGGGCACAAAACCACAGACAGCCCTGAGGTAACAGGGGAGTAAATATTGCATTATTGATAAGCAATAACAGGTTCAGCTGCCTACTTCACTTTTCATATTGAATGGATATCTTTCATTGCAAAACTGTGTCGGAGTTCATTCTAAAATGTTAATATTTTTATATGTATAATAATGTACTGGAAGGTATGCAAAGTACAGTATTTCTTGTTTTTCAATTCACGTCCAGCTATCTCTATGATTTCAGGCTGTTCTTACACTCTTTGAGTAAAACATCTCTCTCTCCTCCCAGAAAACAGAGAACACGCTCAGGCAGTCACAGAGCTCGATGGACGTGTTACTGCAGACCCACTCAGGTCTATCCAGGTCTCAGTTGTCATCAGAAGAGTCACTGCGCTCCTTAAAAGAGCTGTGGGAGAGACTGGACCATGGACTCAGTCCATCTATTTTCTCAGAAGGTAACCAAACCAGAATAACTAAGGCTCAACTTCTACTAATCTGATTTGCGTAACAACTAATTGTTTTTTTTAATCTAAATAAGGACATGACATACAACATATTGGAATGGCAAAGTGAATATCAAATGCTTGCATGCATTTTTCGTGGTTGAGGGATGATTTCTTGATACGTGTGTGCTAAAACATAAACACTTAAATCTCATCATCTCGAACTCATCCTAACTATCGAACCTGCTTGAATAATGTTGGCTTCATTCTGCAGGTTCAGCCATCATGGATATACATGAAGGATTTTTAAAGGGGGCGCAACTATATCCCTGGCGGAGGCCGCTAAGGTAGTCAAAAAGCTGAGGTGGATGAGATCCGAGATGTCTGAGATGCTGAAGGCGCTGGACACTGTTGGGCTGTCTTGGCTGACACGCCTCTTCAATGTCGCATGGGGGTCGGGATCAGTGCCCATGGACTGGCAGACCTAAGTGGTGGTTCCCATTTTTAAGGGGGGACCGGAGAGTGTGCTCGAATTATCGGGGTATCACACTACTCAGCCTCCCGGGGGAAGGCTTATGCCAGGGTGCTGGAAAGGAGGCTCCGACCGTTTGTCTAACCTCGGATTCAAGAGGAGCAGTGCGGATTCCGTCCCGGCCGTGGAACAGTGGACCAGCTCTTTACCCTCGCAAGACTACTGGAGGGGTCCTGGGAGTTTGCCCAACCAGTCTACATGTGCTTAGAGGACTTGTAGAAGGCTTTCGACCGGGTCCCTCGGGGGTACTTGTGGGGGGTGCTGCGGGAGTATGGGGTGCCGGACCCGTTGCAACGGGACATCCGGTCTCTGTACGACTGCAGTAGGAGCTGCGTCCGTATTCTCGGCTGGGTGTTGGCCTCCGCCAGGGCTGCCCTTTGTCACCGGTCCTGTTCGTGACTCTATAGGCGCAGCCAGGGGGTGGAGAACGTCACGTTTGGGGGTCTCGGGATCGCCTCTCTGCTGTTTGCAGATGATGTGGTCCTGTTGGCCTCCTCGGAGCGTGACCTCCAGCATTCACTGGGGCGGCTTGGGGATGAGAGTTAGCACCTCCAAATCTGAGGCCATGGTGCTCTGCCGGAAACCGGTGGATTGCTCCCTCCAGGTGGGGACGAAGGAGTTCAAGTATCTCGGGGTCTTGTTCACGAGTGAGGGTAAGATGGAGCGGGAGATCGACAGGCTGATTGGTGCGGCTGCAGCAGTAAAGCAGGCGCTGCACCGGACCATCTTGGTGAAGAGGGTGCTGAACCGGAAGGCGAAACTCTCAATTTACCGGTCGGTCTACGTCCCGACCCTCACCTAACAAGGTTGCGGTTACAAGCGGCCGAAATGAGTTTCCTCCGTAGGGTAGCCGGGCTCAGCCTTAGAGATAGGGTAAGGAGCTCGGACATCAGGAGGGAACTTGGAGTTGAGGCGCTACTCCTTTGCATCGAAAGGAGTCAGCTGAGGTGGTTCGGGCATCTAATCAGGATGCCTCCTGGGCGCCTCCCACTGGAGGTTTTCCGGGCACGCCCAACTGGTAGGAGACCCCGGGGAAGATCCACAACAACACGCTGGAGGGATTATATCTCCCAGCTGGCCTGGGAACGCCTCAGTATCCCCCAGAATGAGCTGGAAAATGTTGCGGGGGAGAGGGAAGTCTGGGTCAGCCTGCTTGGCCTGCTGCCACCGCGACCCGACCCCGGATAAGCGGAAGAAAATGGATAGATTGATGGATCTTGTCACGGCAACCTCTCCCGCACATCATTTAATTTTACTGTCTTAAATTAACAAGGTCATTATTGCGCTACCTACTGCCACCCACTGGCATGGAAGAGTATTTCATTACTTAGCCAGCCACTATATTGCAGGCTCAGACGCACGCACAACAATGGCAAATTATTTGCAGCAACTAAATAAAAAATTTTGGACCGATTAATTCAATTCAATTCAATTTATTTTTGTATAGCCCAAAATCACAAATCACAAATTTGCCTCAGAAGGCTTTACAATCTGCACACATGTGACATCCTCTGTCCTGGAACCCTCACATCGGAACAGGAACAACTCCAGAGAGAAAAGAGGGAGAGACCTTAGGGAGAGCAACAGAGGAGGGATCGCTCTATCAGGATGGACAGAAGTGCAATAGATGTCATGTGTACAGAATGTACACATGACATCTATTTCACTAATTTTAAGTGAAATTGGACATTTTCCCACGGCACACCTGACGATCTCTCACAGCACACTGGTTGAAAATCACTGGTGTAAAGCATTAGTCCCTGTACAGATCTTTCATAAACTACCAATATCAGTGCAGTTCAGAAAAAACTTGGGTTACAAGATGGGTCAAAGGTTAGGAACTAGAAGTCATATCCATGTAAACCATTGAGGCCCTGTCTCATACTGTAGTGCATTTTGTCCCCTTGCGACCATGCAATCTTACAGACTAGATGTGACGATGACAGCATATCTCGGTTAGTAAGACCAGAATCTGCCAGGTCTCGTTCTACAAGTGTGGTGGGTGGACCTGTGGATTTAGCCTTTGTCTTTTCTGTGCATGTTTGGGGACCCCTACAGACGACGGAGCCCTAAGCAGCTGCTTATTTCTCATGTCTCAGGCTGGCTGTACTGAATCATAAAGACCCTTTACCCAGCCTGGTATACATGAATTCCTATGTTCAGTGGACTCCTGTGTGAACAGGGATTTAAAAGCTCTGTCTGCATTCAGTAATTCGTCCCTGCGTTAGGGACAGTACATCCTCACAATATCACTTTGTCACAAAATCGAACCACTCGGTCCAGTATGAACATGGTTGCAGTGGTTGGATCAGCTGGACAGATGGAGGGAGGGTTGTTGCCCAATTTGTGGCTGTAGTCTCTGTCAACTATCCAGGGAACAATTTCTCAACCAGATCAGGCACACACTCGCAGTGACCAGCTTCATGCCATCTGATAATTGTGAAACCAGACAAACCTTGCACAAGGTTTCAGTACACTTATGATAACTGTCCTCACTGGGTCCAATAGTTTATTGCAGATATTAAACGGCTGTATGAGTAAAGGTTAGATAAAGTTCCTCATGTCTTGTGAACTAGGAGATTCCGTACAGTTGCAACGTGGAAACCCAGCAAGAGATAGATGTTTAAAAATGTTCGATCTGTATCTAGATCTGTATCTAGATCTATATGTAGATCTGTATCTAGCTCTATATGTAGATCTGTATCTAAATATGTATCTAGCTCTATATGTAGATCTGTATCTAGATCTGTATCTAGCTCTATATGTAGATCTGTATCTAGATCTGTATCTAGCTCTATATGTAGATCTGTATCTAGATATGTATCTAGCTCTATATGTAGATCTGTATCTAGATCTGTATCTAGCTCTATATGTAGATCTGTATCTAGATCTGTGCCTTAATTCTAACAAGGAAAATGATGATAGCTCGGATGCATCCTGGCACATCTTCAACTTTTTGTTTTTGGTGTTCCATTATTACAACAAATGTAACTATTCCACATTGTTTTAAGACACAGTCCCCCACTTGAACCTACCCCTGAATAAAGACACCAGCAAATGAAAATGTGTCACCTGTAACGGCCATTAAAATCGCATCTCTCTTATCTGCACCTAAAGGTGAGGTTGAGCTGAGCAGGAAGGAGGTGGCCCAGTCTGGTGATGCTGCAGTCCAGATGACGGTGCACGATAGCTGTGCTCCCATCCATGGCCAGCCCCAAGTCGAGGTCCAGCAGAGGAGGTGCCCTTCTAAAACTCCATCAGACACTACCAAGACCAGCAGACCTGGATCCACTGGCAGGACCTGCAAGATCAGAAACTACAATGTTAAAGACTGACACACACATATTGGACACTCTGTCAGTGTGCTGGTTATGGAGAGTCCTCTTCAGCTTGTGAGAACACTGACATGTCTATGAAAATAACCCCCGATCAGAGACAGATTCATAACAGAAAGCCTGCATCACAAACGAGGGAGTTTGAAAGGGAGGGTTTTAATGAGAAGAAGGATTTTAAAATTTGTATTTAATTGTAGCTTCATCAAAATAATCCTGGTAGCATGAGTACAAACATGTGTAAAAGCACTCCAAATCCAGAACGGCTTCAAACATCAAAACACATGATTCTTCAATGCATTTCAGAATAAAACGTATGGTAAGAACATGCTTTTATATTCTGCTGCTCCTTCCAACATCAGAACTCACACAATTAGGGACCACGTTTTCTTAAAAACGGTTCCAAGATTTGTTAGTCAAATTGTCTATTAATTGATTTAACTGCTACAAAAGAAAATGTGACAGTGACCCACCAGGGAAAAGGGTTAGGCCCCCAAAAGTAGAATCAAGTTGTGAAGTTGGTGCTCCCTGGTGGTTTCGTGGTTAAAGCACCGACCAAGAACTCCCCTGGGACTTTTGTTGTATGTCATCCCCCATCACTATCTCTTCTCACATTTGCTGTCATTTCTCTTCTTTCAACTCTTCAATAAAAACATAAAATAGCATAGAAATCCTTTGAAATAAAACCACAAAGTGATGAGCACCATGACACTAAGATGAACAGAAACTCAACATTGTTAAAGACTCCCACCATACTGAAATGATGCTGCAGAGCTCAATCCTCTGTTATATTGCACATAGGCTATGAAATGCATCTCTATTAAACATGTGCCATGCAGCGGATTTCTATGAAATAAAATAATTTCTATGTGCTATCAAACTCAAAACTATATCTATAAAACACGTGTTTTAATTGGTATGCATTAATGTGCCTGTCCATAAAAAAAGAAGAAGCCGTCTGTCTGTTTCACTATTGATCGAGGTCATTCTCTTAAAGCTTATCACTGTTGCACAGTAGGTCAGTAGAAAAAAGAGCTACCCTGAGAACATCATGCTATCGGAAATGATGAACGCCAGTAACCCCAAGAAGTCAGACGAGCTTTCCTGGCTACGTCATAGCTTAGGTCCCGCCTTTTAATCACCCTATCTCTGAACAGCACCCTCCCCTCTGCTGCTATTGGACGAAGCTTCACACCCACGCTTTGTGATTGGCCTTTTTGCATGTCATCCAGAATGCTTTGGTGTGTGTACCCAGTGTGCCGAAGCCGGTCTTCAGGTTCACGGTCACTGCTGCAGTGTGAGGTTTAAACTTGAACCTGCTGAAGTTTCACAGCCCAGCAGCCTGTGGGGGCAGATTCATATCTAGTAGTAGGCCTAATGGGATCCACATAGATCCACTAATGGATGGACAATACAGCACACCATCACTGTGTGTCTTACATTATCAATTCCAGAGATTATTTATGAAAGTAACACAATACTCATAACAGAACGAGTCACAACACAAATACATTAGATATTACAAAATGAAATGGTACTGCTATCCAATATGAACAACGGTAACATTTACCAGCATGGCTCTAGATATGTTGGTCTGTCAAATATCTTCAATTTATGGATGGCACCAAATGATGTACCCTAGAAATTGTAGGCCTGTTCGAATGGTAATTCATGATCAACTGTCTTATACTCTAGCACCACCATGACATTCACTTTTTAAAATAAAATACCAGACAACCAGCTGATTAAAGCGTGACATTGGGACACACAGTGATTGTTCCCAGAGGATGAATTGTGAAAACGTAGATCTCTTTTAACTAACACAGTGCATTCAACACATCTCACGTTGTCCCTCACATTGATTTATGACCAAATGCTTGTCAAACTAATGACACTTGTGTCAGTGAAGGGAAGCTAAGCCTGGCGGTATGCTGGTGAGCAGCTTTCAGCACCCAACACCCACCCACCCGTCCAGGGTACTGCTGCTGCTGCTGCAGCGGGCCGAGGATAGCTGGGCTAGCTGACACGTGCATGTCTGTTCACTGACTCACACATCAACACTCACGCGCTACCAACGCGATACAAAATAAACTCTATAAAATAGTAATATACAGCCTATAAGCTGCACGGTTTAATGCATACACGCTTCACTATATCGTCAAAGCAAATGCACTCTTCTCAGTGGGGTCAGCCGGCGGGGCGGGGCTACAGGAGAGAGTCTGAACTGCAGTAACCCCGCCTCACTGGTCTCCTCTCTCTATGGCTCAGGGGCGTTCAACGAATTGCTCCATCACTGGCTGGATCCGAGAGCCCTGCCTCTTTTCTCATTGGACTGTGCGGACAAGCCAAACTGTCAGCCCATGTGGCGTGGCCAGGCAGAATGTGAGACATTTAAATTCATCAGAGAGAAGAGAGTGAAAGAAGCACGGAACTAACGTTACCCTTCCAGACAGTGGAAACGACCGGGACAGACATTCCCCACTGCAGTCACAGTAAGAGGAGCGCCACCTGGGCAACACCGGTAAGCTAACTTTGCTAACTGTCATTAGCTGCGTCGTCACTGACAGTATGGGTGACTTTATTGTCTCGAGACGGAACAATAGTAGGTTACGTACAACTTCCGTTCACTGTGTCATTGTTTTTTATTAACACCGGAGTGTGACAGTGTTATGTCAAAAAGAAGACTGTCGTTTAGTTAACGTATGACATTTAGTTTTCTACATGAAGGTAACAAAGTATTCGTCGTGACGTTACATACTGTATCGGCATGAATTCTAACTTTTACAAATGGTTCGCCTAGTTTGTCTGTGTCCTATTGATGGAAATCATCTATGTCGGTGGATCATATTCAGACCTAAAGGAAAAGTGATTATACAGTAGTTTTGGTGCTACTTATTTATCACAACTATTATGCATTGCATTATGGGATGGAAACGAGAACGATTGGTGTACTTGCCTCAGTCAGCAGTGCTGCTCTGTGTTATTCTGTTATTAATACTGATCCCTGTAGTGACATCCTGATAAGTGTGACTAGTAACGTTACAGGGAGGCCTCTGTCCAGGATGAGGATGAGCAGGTCTCTGAGGCCAGCAGCCACACTAACTGAAGTGAGAATGAATGGTAGACTGTGAACTCACGTGGCCTTCCTCTGATTTGAAGGTGTCTTTCACTTGTTGTGTGTTACAGTGGGGGCACGGCTGCTGGATGAGAACAAGCCAACTGAAGGCCATTGTATTGAGATTAGAATGTGGAATTCCCTCTTGTATAGTCACCGACTGGTTCAGGAGATTCTCTGACTATGACATGGTTTTGTTAAAGCAGGAAATAACTGATGACATGAATACAAGAGTACGTTCAGAGTAGTTTGCTAACTTTTCCATGTGGTTGAGGAATTTGCTGTTTGTGGAGGCAGGGGGCTGCCAGGCAGTCAACTTAGATATGAGGCTTGAATGTAATCAAACTAATTGAAAAGCATTGACCACCAACTAAACAACAAAACATACAAGTTAAAATTGTAATTAATATCATTTTATATCTATATCTATTCAAATTTTAACTTGTATAAGAGACATTCTTGTCATGTCAATGACGAGAATGATTTGTTTTCCTAGTTTTGTCACGTTGAGGAGGGTCATACGGTCTCCTGCAGAGTACTGCTAGTTTTGCTAGTTTTGCTAGTTTTGCACTTGTTATTTGTGTTGTTTCTGCCCTCAGGCTCTTTCCACCAGGCTGTGTGACGAGTCGGGTCTTGTTGGTGAGCGCTGCAGGATGAGCTCAGCAGTCTGACATCCAGAATGTCAGGGCTGATATGAATGCAACAAGGCACGGCTATTCAACTGCTGTTTCAATAGGGCCAGATTTTAAAAGCGGGGAATGTAGATGAGCCGGACATTTTGTAATGACACATTTCAAACTAGTGCAAATTAATTAGTCAAAAATAGCAATAATCACTGTTTCACGTTTGAAATGAAAACATGTCTGATGCAGGTACATCACAAAGTGCAGAAAGCTGAAAAAGAGAGCTGACACTACCAGTCTCTTTCTCTCTCTACCAGTTTCTCCCTCCCTCTGTCTCCCCCCTCTCTCTGTCCATCTGTCAGTAGCCAGATGTTTTTTAAAGCGACTCAGCGTGGTCAGAACCACGTCACAGGAGATGTTTAAAGAAATGATCGGTGGTGTAGCTAACCGATCTCTACATACTGTCTGATCTGTACTGAGCACGAGGAACTGTCAACAGAGATGAGAAGGAAGCCAGATGACTCGCTCGTTATACCTCCATACACCATATATGTAGTTTACATACTCTGTCATATATCAGATTTATGTGTGCCACATGTGGGCCACTCGCGGGTTACTTCTGGGCCGGATGTAACCCGCAGACCACCGACTGATAAGTGTAGAAGACAATGCAGTCGCTCATCCCTTTTGAATATAACTTGGGCTGACTTTGAGTCCAGCATGAAGCAGCAGCGGGGCCGACTCTTGATAGAGTACTGAGTAACTCTACTGTATGCGTGTTGACAAATAGTATACACTAATAGATGGTGTGTGATCTGGGTCAGGTGAGGCTAGATGTTGTCCTGAATGTGCTACATTAATTCTAATCCCTGGCCTGAGTGTCCTGGTGGCCAAATCCCTTCAGCTACTGAGCCTCACAAAGGGCCGGGACAGCCCGTCATACTGGGTCATCCTGCTTCTCCCCGGGCTCACCGTCTCATTGTCATGGCCAGGACTTGTTATGTGTACAGAAGACAGCCAATGATAGAACCGTCACATCCCTCATTCTACCACAGTATCCTGCACTGATGGAATCTGACCTCCTTGTCTACTGTTTCTGGTTCAGCTTTGAGTTGATCAGGTATTAAAGGTGCTCAACTGGTTTTCTTTTTGACTTTACAACTGTGTAGGTGTAGATACCAGTAATCTGTGAATACAACATCACAGCTATATGTTTAAATCCTTGTACACTTCGCTCGTTAGTTTTTTGAGTTTCAGAGGAGTTTGGTAAACGGTTTGGTAAGGACGAGAGAGGCTGACGATGGTCATGATGGAGCTTAGGTTGGTTAGAATCAAAGAGGAGGGAGTCCTTCACTTCATGCATCCATTATCAGACAGGAAGACGGGTAGTAAAGGTGAGACGGGAAGTTTGGAGAGACAGGAGAACGAGGAAATTACCACAGCTATCACAAGCTAACGTTACATAGCAACTCACGCTAGCTAACCAGACTGTCAGTAACCGATAGCTTTGCTAGCTTGTCCCAGTTTGTATCTATTGACATAGTGACGGCATCATAAAGATTGTGGACATTCATTTCCCTGTCCACATGGGACAAGACCAGACTAGGGGACATAACTCCATGTGTGTACAGTGTGTCATGAGGGGAGGGGTCTGAGCTGGTGACACACTTTCACTGCTAGCCCATTGGTCCATGGGTCTGTCCCTGGCCTAGAAACAAGAACAAAGACACACACACACACACACACACACACAGTACAGCGTGGATATGCTCACTCATGTACACAGTCGTCTATCAGCAGACGACAGTGTCTGCTGTGAGTGCTCTCTCATGCATGCTCAGAGGGACTCTCATTCCCAAACCTGCCAGTCAACGCCAACACAATTACACACGCTTCAATACGGACACATGTATCGTGTGAATTATGGGATTACTGCCACAGAGACCTTTTTTTCATATTTCATGTTTTGCTGTGGTAAAGAGTTTCAAGGCGTTTGGCTATTCCACATATTTCTGTTCCCATCGGCTGACTGTATAGAATATACTTTATAGTGAGTGTTGCACTGATGAAATGTGTCTGCTAGTAGGATATGCATTCAGTGAACCAGCTAGCCTCACTATCAGCTCACTGCAGAGACACGCATGCATTCAGAAATTCCATTTTCTTTAAAGTTTTCTTAAAATTCCAAGAGAGAACATTTTAATGCAGATAAAAACAAACCTTTGCTATTATTAACAAATATAATGTTTTTTGTAGCATACAACATATTTATCCTACACAATAGGGTATTGGTTACAGCTTATCTTCAGCAACACGAAACCATCAGATTCAGGATAGAATAGTCGAGGACATGAGTGTGATCTTTCTTCAATGTTGCATTTGAACAAATGGTGTCAGACACGGGGCAGCCGTGGCTCACTGGGTAGAGCGGGTCGTCCGGCAACCACAAGGTCGGCGGTTCGATCCTTGGCTGATATGTGTCCTATGCCGAAGTGTCCCTGAGCCAGACACTGAACCCATAACTGCTCACCC